TCTGCGGGATGACGGGTTTATTGACAGGGTCATTGGCAGCCTTGAGTTTTCTTGCATGTACTCGAGGGAATGGGGCGGCAGGGAAAATACTCAGGACGAGGATGGAGGTTTAATACCAGAGTAGTGCCTCCCCTCGCCTGGGTATTTCCGTCGTGGTTGCACCCAGAAATACCTCGTCGCGGCGTGAATTAATGCGGATTCCCCGGTTATATTTAGTTAACTCCTCATCAGATAGGAATGGAATCGATCATGTCGGGAGAGGGTGGATAGTTAAATATCGTATGCCACTGTCAACCTTTCCGTTACGAAATAAAACGATAATTGAGAGTTAATCCGATGTTTTATAAACAATGTGATGAAAAAATATGTTGTAGATAAAGTTTCATGGATTGAGTAACTTTACGAGAAGATCCAAACGTCATTATCATACATTGAATTCATCTTACTGCACAACTCAATTTAATTCTAATGAGAAAAAATTAAATGATTTAATTCATTGTTGAGAAGTCGTGTTTCGCGTCGTCTTACCTTGCAATTGATCTAGGATCTGCATGGAAGGATAATAAAAAGGAAAATCAAAAAGGAATTCTTCCAATTCATAAAAATAATATGTTATTGGAAATCCACCGCGCAATTTGAATATTCCTGAACAAACCTTCATTTTTTTATGATAAAATTTAACAACTCGTGGAGAGGTTAACTCGTAATTTCCTCGGGTAATGAAAATATTTTTATTGCCAATTCACATTCAGCTGCGGCATAATAGCGGTAACGATTACTAAAAATATATTAGAAAAATTAAGAGGGAGTTAACATTTCAGGATGAATCCAACAACCATTGAAAAAAATCTCGTTTCAATAGGTTAAAGAGGCAGATCCCTGCATTTCGAAAGATGAAACAATCAACGGAGAATACATCGAGAACTCCATCGAAATTCCCACAGGTAGGATCCTGCATGTGCGAGGGAATAACGGAACTGTCTTGTGACGTCACTCTCAGCACTGTCGGTTATCTTCCTTATTTCGAGGATCAATCAACTTCATTCTCACGCTTTTGACATTGTTCTCAAGGGAAAAATCTGACGGTTGAAATTTGTTAATTAAATTTATCATGAATTCACTTATTTCAATTAAAAGAGGTGCATTTACCGAGAGCTAACGAACTTTTCATTTCGACGAGCTGCGAAAGTGAAAAGTTCATGTTCTCAGGTATTTTCGTCTCTTCTAAAAAACTATTCACATCAAACTGTCAATTAAATCGTCAATGAATTTATAAATCAACAGATAAATGAAGAAATGAATGAAAAAATCAGTTTTTTAACGGATTTTTAAGGAGACAATGAGTTGACTGCTGTATATCTTATCGTTAACATGTTTCGTTTTGTCGCAAAGCAAAACATGTCAACAGTTGCGCAATCCCTTGATTTTTGCCACACAAGAATCTTTAATCCACAGCGTAATAATCCCGAGCGATTAAAAGAAGCGTTCGAGTTCTTGACTTTTTTTTTCGTCCCCAGTTCCACGCACGAACGAGGCCACGCGCACTCGCGCGCCAATGTTACCCCGCAACTTTCACCTGGCGCGTGAGGCACCAGCGCAACTCCGTCCCTGTACTCGAACCGACGCACCCCATATTTTTTTTCATACATTTTTCTTATTACTGACGGTATTTACACGATCATTATTCACTCGATTTCGAACAATGTTGATGAACGACGTTCGCAGAACATCGACCGATAACAGAATAGTGTGCGATCATTGCTTATCACTTCTTATCGCGAGTACAATAGTCAAATGAGCCCTCGGAAAATTATTGCTTTCAAGTAATTAAAATTGATGGAGTGGAATGACATTCGCGCAACACATGCGGAAAATTGAGAATAATTTTTTACGCCAGATGTTGACGAAATTGGAGAAAAGACGAGCCACTTTGCCCCAGTAATTTACCTTTTTTTTATTGTTTCTCAATCCGAATGAAATATTCCCGATTAAAAAATATATTTCGTAAAAAAATGAAAGAGATGTCAAATCGAAGTAAGAGCCCGCAATTTTTTAAATCCAGAAGTAACACGACTGAAAAAGCAAGTGAGAAAAAACGTCAAGTTTCTGGTCAATAACAAAGGTCATCAATGTTACATGCGCCTGTCCGCAGCTGTAGCAAGTACTTCTTTAGTCTCTTCCCCACCAGTTGGTTGTAGCACGCAAATACGTTTGATAAAACCGATCGATATTATCGCAGTCAGAGTAGACTATAACCTGAACTCTTCTGAATTTCCGATAAAATTGAAACATCAGTGGACGGCAAAATCCCACTGCTCATTTATCATTCCGTTTTTCTCCTTTTAGCTGGCAATTTTAAAGGTCTGAATGTACTTTTATTTGGTGACCCTCATCTGCCCCTCGTCCTCACACACTCCCCCTCCCACAAAAAATACGTCACGGTGCAGTGCACCGAGAGAGCGAGCGAGAGAGAGACAGAGAGAGAGATGGCGAGCCGATGGCCACAGTATTCAGCGTATGGCCGCTGGAGTTAGAAATCCTTTGGTGAAAGTGTTTGCTACGGGCAAACACTGCTTTATAAATCGTGTATACAACTGGATGAAGGAATGCCTGACTCGACAATCACCTAAAATGCCATTAAAAATGGTCTATCTCGGTGGTGCTCAACAAATAAAAATGAGAAATTAAATAAAAAGGTCGAGGTGCCCGCATGAACTCATTTGATAAACGATGCGAAAATAAATTTCATCGATTTATGTATTTCTTCTTTTTCCTCTCCGTCTCTCTCCCTCTCTCTCTCTTCACATGAAACCGTTGATTACGTGAGAAAAGCGGCGTAGGTTCTCCCTTGTTCTTTTCCCCTTCAGACTCGTCGATTTTTCTTCCAGTTGCATTTACGATAATGACGAGGGGGTAGATCACCCCTCTGATAGTACATGGGGGAGGGTGTACATTCTACGGGAGAGAAATATTCTCGGGACAAATCCGTAGGCCTCGTTAACCAAAGAGAATGCTTCCCGTCTTTTATTTCTCCTTTCTGCTTTTTATTTTTTCGTTCCTCTTAGTGGAGAGTTTAATTCCAACTGCCATTATGCCATTACTCAAAATGAACCACCGTGATTTTCATTTTTCAGCGGGAATGGGAGAGACTTGGGGGAGTCAAAATCCATTGAATATTGTCGAGATTCTGTCGTTAAAAATTTTTAAATTGATGAAAAATTTAATGGAAACTAGATTTAAATTATTCCATGAAAAGTGATAGAAATCAGGGAAATTCAAGTGAATAAATCAATTCTCGTCTTTTACTGCTCAGAAATTGCATTAAATTTTCAGTAAAATTGGAAATGTCATTGCATTTTCGCCGTTTTTCAAAATTTTATCACGCAATTTAATTGACAAATTTGATGGTCTGTAACAAACTGGAAAAGATTTAACCACTTTGTATTTTTGTTCACCCCCCTCATGTGTACATTAAACATCACACAACCTAATAATCAAATTCTTTGAACTCTCGACGAACAAAACGAAAAATTACCGAGACAACAAAATTACTCTCCCTTTTGAGTGAATAATGCACCTGAGAGCTCAACGAATTTCGCGTAAGGAAGTTGCTGTGAAGCCAGAGAAAATCGATTAAACCTTCATTACTCGTTAATTCGTTATTAATAGAGTGGGCAACAACAATGGAAATATTCCGATACGCGTAGTTGTACGAGTCCGAGTGAAAACCCGTCTCTGGATGTGTGATTTTTGTACAACAACTCGACCCTGTCCCACATTAGTATCCAACACCATCAGGACATACCCGCGTGATTAAACCGATGGCAAACTACTCAGAGATGCCTGTGCCAACGACTACACCGATGCCTCATTTTTCTTATTCATGAGACACGTGTAATCCAGCTGAACATTCACCAAATTGATCCGTCATTTCCAAGAGACCGGAGAGGTCGTTGGATGACCCAATAAAAAAAAAGAAAATACTTGAGGTAATGACAGTCCTCTGAGCTGAGAAGAAAGTAGCCCCGCGAAATCAATGGAACGGAGCATCCCATGAAGCATTTCAATAATTCATCACGATTGTATAATTCTCATTCCAAATCGTAATGGGTGAAGGTGTGGTGGAGTGAACCTACGTAAATCATCGATACCCCTTGACCAAACGATTATCTCAAGTTCTGAAAATAAAATGGCGGTTGAAAACGAATAAAATTTAACGAATAAAACATATTTTGCGCCATTTGTTCTGCATTCGAAAACGAATAAAATTCCACAATTTTTCGTCAATTTCGAAGGCACTCTTTCGGGCTCTAAAACAAGGCCCGTAAAAAATATTTGCATCATTAGTTCTGCAATCGAAACGCGGAAAGAAAATTGATTGACGAACCAGAGTCCAAAGCTCGTTCCCGAGCCCCGAAAAATCCCGAGTAAAATGAATCGAGGTCAAATATCCTCCATACCGTCTCTCCCACTCATCAACATTCTCACACAATACCCAAAGCAACTCATGTAAACACACGAATCACTCAACCACAAACATTTGTCCACCCGAAATGCCAAAAATTCCCTAATCACTTTATCATCCTGACTGACAAACATCCCCTCCGTCGGTTTGCCAGCGACCCAAACGCGGAAATAATCCCACTCCAGCTCCGGAGCACACGTGACAGTGCGGAACTTTCCCCTCGATCCCTTCTCCATCCGAAAATTCCTCGAGAGTCAAATTCCGATGGTGAAGAAAAAAAATAATTCAAATAATTCGAGGAGACTGAGAGAAAAAAACCTAGACAACTGTAATCAAACTAAATACAATCGATGTCGACACACTGGCCTAGTGACTGGCCGACCTGAACTACTCTTAGAGACCCGCTTGCATCAGCGTCAACCGTCATCCACCGAGTTGACATGTCATTGAGGAAAACGGGATTACCACCTCCGTCAAGTAAATAAAATGAAAAATGTGAAAAATCAGTTGAAATGTTCAACTCGAGCGAACTCACCTCGATAATGTGCCCTTGAGGAGCGGGTTCCTATCATCATAATAACCACCGGAGGACGGCATTTCCCTTCTTCAAGTAATCCAAACGTTTGGCACAAGGCACTTGGCACTGACACTACGGCACTGCATCACTGGCTTCTCGCGCGATCCTCAACACAACGTCGGGGTTCTCAATTCAGCCGTTCCAATAAATTTACATTGCGCACATATCGGCTCCATCTGTTTACCTGTATCTCACTGTCATTGAGTACTCGTTTATCCACAATTTATCACTATTAATCGCCAATGCTCACTCTGATGTTAACTTCAATCCCGTTGTGTTAGAGATAATGTGACTATTTTAAAACAGCTGATCGACGTGAGTCCCCCATCAACTTGTGGATTTAAATCGACCCGTCAAACGTTTAATGATTTTAAATCCACGCGGATGTCGTCAACAATCATCACTGGGCACAATCTGCTCGATTATTCCTTTCAGTATTTTCCCCACTGTCGATGTGGCACCTGGGGAGAATGTCGAATTATTTTTGTTAGTTATTTTATTTTTGTACGGAATAACGCACAGCGCCACTGAACACCTCTCACCGACGACTGACAGTCGGATCCCGGATTGTTCCGTGAAACACGTGCGATCGCTAGCCTCAAACATGGCGGCTCGTGCCCGGCTGCTGGCACTCCGCTCACAGTACACACTACCCCACCCCCCCCATCACGCTTTCTCACTCTCTTTCGCTCCCTCTCGGTGGCTCCTTAGCCCCTTCGCCCCTTCGCGGCTCTTACTTGCCCCTTCGCGCAACAACGAGTGTCCTGCCCCCACCCTTCTGACCCCTTCGGAGTCCGGTAATACTATAGTGTCGACGAGCGTTTAGCGCGCGGGAAACGGGGGACGACCGGAAAAGCTGGCCGAACATGGGGTTCAGGCGGTTTGGGGGCTGTTGGGGAATCGCTGGTTTTAAACGTTTTGGGGAATTTTTGGGGTGTCGTTAATTTTGATGGACGACTCGGGGGCCCTCTCGTTGTTAATTGTTTCAGGGAAATTTTTATCTAGCTGCGATATTTCGGGAATTTCAGGCCGTATCAAGGGGAAAATAGGGGAGAAGTAGGGGATCGGGAGGGGGAGAGTATTGAATGAATTTAAACGTTAAGGATAGCCGGGTATTTTGGGTTTTTTGTTTCGTTAAAATGATTTTCACACTCGGTGTTTGTTGGGGCTCTCGGGTGTAAACATTTACTGGGCATTTCGCAATTGCGGGATTATTTAGACTCTGAAGGGTAATTGAGTTTTCATTAGGAAACATTTTATGAATTCAGAAAATTTATGAAGTCCGGCTTTTGCGGAAGAATCGGAAATTTTAGACGGTTCTGTGTTTTAAGGCCGTCCAACATTGAGGTTTTACGGGCCGAAGACGCAGAAATAATTGATTTTAAATCACTTCATTCTGAATCGATTAAATTGCAATTTTCGGAGGTCATTCGTATTGTTTGAAGGTTTATTCACATTTCGAAATTTTTCTCTGAATTTTGTTGTGTCCATGAATTTTTATTAAATTTTCATCACGTTTATTTCAATTTATTATAATCGATTGCTAACATTAATACGTTTTAAGAAAAAGAAAACGACGGTTTTCAACAGAATTAATCATTTATAAAAACTTAAAAGTACTGATAATGAACGATAAAGTTGAAGAATGAGAAGACTAATGTCAGAGTGACAAAAATAGTGTTTCATTACAAAGAATAAATTTGAATTAAATGGTTTTATAATATTGAATAAGGCATATGCCGTTCAGAATTGTATTCACTTCCCAACGATATCTAGAATGGGGAAACGACGAAATTACTTCGTACTAAAATGTTAAATCATTAAATTAAAATTCAGTGAAGTGATGAAACTCTGAGAAGTATTTTCAATTAAGGCCTATTATTATCGATTAAAAAATTCAATTAAAAACTAGGAAACCAGCACTTTTTATTTCCATAATTTTCTGGGAATTTTTCAACATCTATAATTTTTTTCAAATTGATATCGCCGTATTTCAATAAGAAATTTGATGATACAAAATTTATTTCAATAATTGACGCGTTTCAAAAAGACGGGATCGATGTTTTTGAAGAGAATGAATTTTATGGCAAGACATAATCTTTTACTGGATTCTAATAAATAAAACAAGTGGACAATAATATTTTTTATTGTTCACTAAATTAGCAACTTGCTTCCGAATGGGTTTTCTTCTTAAAAATTCTTATTTCACTATTCTCTTCTATTTCTTCATGTTACAGTGCTATCATCAATTGAAATGTCATCACAATTTTGCGTATCATTTCGTTGTGTCAAATAATTCTGCATTGAGACCCCCTCAAGACTCGAATTCATTTTCAGTCCGGGTTTAATCAAGGTTTAATCAGTACATAGCCGGGAAAAAAAACTCGCCCGAAAAATTGGAAATTTAAATTTGAGTCACAACGCTTCCATTCGGAAGCAAAAAGAAACGAGTGAAATAGAAAATAAAAATATTCAGAGGAAAAACATAAGGATTGCATTTCCTTTCCGTCTCAGACTCGTTATCACTTCTTACTAAACGAATGAGTCATCCTTATTTCTATAAACCTGCAAATGTAACTGAATTCTCTCGTTAATTAACACGATAATATTTTCGAATTCTTACGATAATGAGATTTCACAACATATTTAATATCTAAATATGACTCCACTATTACGTGGGATTTTCCGATAGAATAATGAAGAGAAATATTATTAAAAAAATGAAGAATGCTTGTACATCTAAAATAGAGACATTAGTGAATGGTTAACCCTTGGGCGGACGCGTGGGCTTTAACTAATCCCCAAGCAGCAAAGCCGGATTTCATGATTATAAAGGTGTAATACCGAGGTTGGTCTCAATTTATCTACTTTTTTATGTCTCAATGGCCGCATGAATATTTATATTATATGACGAGTTGATGGATTGTTGTTGTTGGAGATAACGTTTCCTTTGTTCAACTTATCGAAGAGGTAAAAAATAAATCAGGAAAAATCTGGAAATATTGTCAATAATTACAGGAGAAGAGAGATAGAGACATTCCTGTAATAATACGGATTTTATTTTCAATCTCACCGTCATCTTTCTCCTCTCAAAAACAAAACCGCGGCTCGAAAAGCGAAAGGAGTCGAAGGGTTCGAAGACTATTTTCGGGCCTCATTTTTCCCCCTCCAGTCTCTAAAATATCTCCTCCAGGGTCGTTAACCCTACGACTGAAGGGAAAATTTTCGGCTTCTTGTCTCCTCAACTGGGTCACATGAAAGACGGAACTGTGAACACGATAGTGAGCGGGAAATGCAGCTAATTGATTACGTGAAAACGTCACGCCGATTTTTCCGTACTATTTTTTCTCCAATTGTCTATTTTTACCACGCAACATGACGACATTCGATTATTGCAATAGCACGTGTCGAAAGCCCGGAAAAATTTCTACCTCAGAAAATCCACACTCGTTGTTCAACTCTGACCATCATAAAACATAAGAATAAACGTTAATGCCGCATTTAACTATTTCCAAAAGCGCCACGATAATTACCACCAAACTCAATTTCATTATCTGAATTACTTACGAAGCGCCAAGAAATCTCGCGCTCCCCTTTTCGCCCGCGGAATAATGATAACGACAATCCACCTTATCTCTTAACCAAAAGAACAAAACCATAAAGTGGAGCAACAAACAGGGACTTCTCCCCCAATTAAAAATAGAAAACCCCAGAAGAAAAAAGACCACAAAAGCCCGGAAGATCACTCCAACAATCTGTGGAAAAACAAAGACCACCTGAAAATGCCCTCATTAAAGAATAATTTTGTCACACGTAGCGACCGGTGAAAAGTCAGAAAGTAAGAGCATTGGTGGAGTCTCGACGTCAAGGACGTTACGTTGAGCGGGATTCACGATCGGACGATAAGCCGGGGCACGGTGGCAGTCCGCTAGGTGGCAACGATCCCTACCCCTTCGCCCACTTCGATCGCCCTCCCCTCCACCCTCCCGGCCCCCTGCGACACTTCGCTCTTCTTCGCTCATTTATTTTTCATTTCTCTTCTCCTCAGAAATCGTCTGACGACACAACATCGGGCTTCCCCCACTCCCTCCCCCCTCCCCGCCCCCCAGGCGCGCAGACATACGTAAATGTTGTGTATCTCACACGTACAATTGCCAATGTCGAAGCCCCAGGGGCGCATTAAATAAGAAAGGAAAAAATAATAATGGAATAAATAGGAAGAGAGACCGATGAGTGGCAGAGCCGACGTTAGTGTAAAGTCTCAAACGCGCTCGAAACGCCTGGAAAATAATGGTACCGTAAGTCGTTCCACTTCTCCGAAAGAAAACGCTCCGGAATTCAGCGTGCCTATTCGCCTTCTCTCAGACTTTTTAATTTCCCCTTCTTTTTTCTTTTTCGCTCGCGGTCTCTTTTCCTTTTTCTCCAATTCCCCCCCGCCGCGACAAAAATTCCGTGGTATTCTTCAATGTTCTATTTCGAGTTTTGAAAACGACTCTCTAGAGACCGGCTCCGCCGAAATCAGCCGGGAATTACCGAAGATAAACCCACACACACACACACACACACAGGGAGACAACTTGGTTTTTCAAAAATTTTCAGCCGTTTTCACTCTCTCGATTGTACTGTTTGCGCGAGTTTCGGTTATTGGTGGATGGATCGCAGCTGCGAGTGACGTTATTTCAGAGATAATGGGCGATTTTGTAATTACCAGATTTTGGATGAGACTGAGGCGCAAGGAAATCAAGGCAGATATGCAAGATTCACGGAATGGTGCGAAGGCTTATCCGCCAACAAACTGTCAACAGGCGTGCGGGGTACAGTATCGGTATCCCTCGTGATTGTGTTGTGTCCACTTCGTCTACTCCCACTACTCACATCAACTGCTACTTCGGAATCCCCCCCCCCCCCCCCCCCC